CACAGCATAGGAGGGTATGGTAATATGTTGCAGTGGAAAGACCCATGGGCTGGGAATCAAAAGATTTAAATTTTGGTTCTAAAGTCCTCCTTTCCTGGCTTTCTGATCTTCACAGGTTAAGATAACTTCTCTGAGCTTCAGATTTCCCGCCCTGTGTAATGGAAAAAAATAATACCCGTTCTGCTTACTGTAAAGTGTAAGAATAAAAATGAAATAACGTATGTGAAAATGCCTTGTTAATTACCATGTACGGTACAAATGTGAGAGATGATTATCATCATAGCCCAGCTCATCAGAATGAGAAGTTGTATGTGGCTTAAAATAATCCATCCAGTGAGCTGTGTTAAAATGTAGGTCAAAGCATAGCCTCAGAAGTTGAGAGAGGCTAATGGTAGCTACCTAATCTAACAGGCCACCAGATGTGAAGGTTCTTTGAAAGCTGTAAAGAGTTACCTACATGTAAAGTGAAGTGATTATGGTTAAGCCTAGAATGTACATTTTAGTCCTCCTGGTTCCTGATTTGAAGTAATAATGACCAGAGCAGCACTGGAGACTCGTGCATGGTTGTACTTGCGTGGGTTTGTACATTTGTATGTGTGCCTCTCTGTGTGTATGGAGTTATTTATTGAGCACCTACTATGTGACAGTCATCAACTATTTTCAAGTGCCTACCTTGTGCCAGGTGCATTGGTCTAGGCTCTGGGAGTGCCATGATGAATAAGAAACAGCCCGTTCCCTCAAGGAGCTGTGGCCTGGCCAGGACAATAGCCGGCATTTGCAGTGTGCTCGTAGTAGGTGCTATAGGAGAAGCATCCATGAATTCAGTCTAGGTGAAGGATAGGAGGAAGGGGTCCAGGGGCAGGGAAATTAAGAAATGAGACTGGAAAAAGTAAGGGTTTGCTGCTCAACCTGAGGGGAAGCTAGGCGGGACAGAAAGAAGGGTCTATGCTGAGGCACTGGGGAGGGAAGCAGCCCGATTTTGCATCTGCTGCCGCCTGTTTGTGCACAGGTGGTGGGAAGGCAGTGGGGAGAGGAACCCAAGCCTGCTGGCCAGATCCTGGGGGCCTTCCTTCATATGGCCTGAGGGGCTTGTCTTGATCCCGCCGCAGGCTCCTGGGAGCCCCTCAGCCAGGGCTTAAGCTCTGCAGAGTGACATAATCAGCTTTGCATTTTGGAAAGATCAGGGAGCCCCAGTGTATCTCACTGCAGCAGTACCAGCCAGATGCTGGGGTGTGTCTGTAGCAGTGAGTGACAGCTGCATATGCAGGGCCGTGAGCTAAGATTTGCATGGGGACAGGAGGGAGGAGGAAGAAAGAGGGAGGGAGGGACTTTTGTGAATAGTTCTGCTCAGGATGTCCTGTGGGAGCAGAGGAAGTTAGCAATTCTTGAGTGACTATCACGTGTTAACCCCCCCCTGTATACACTCATTTAATTGTTGTAACATCACTGTGAGATATTATTATCCCCGTTGAATAGGTGAGAAGAGCGAGACTCAGAGAGGTTAAATAGCTTGAAGTTAGTTGTGAGTAAAGAGAGCAAAAAGTCCAGCCCACCTCTGCCCTCTCAGAGCCCACCTAACTAGGAGTCCTGCCACCTCCCGCTGGAAGGTTTGACTAATTGGTCCCCTTCCTTGACAGATGAGGAAACCAACCTGGGGCTCAGATCTGTTTCTGCTAAATTGGTTACTGTTTTCCAGCTGCTCCAAGTCACTGTGGATCAGATTCTTCCCTTTCAGAGTATTAGCGACGTGTCCTAATTCAGTGCTACTTGCAGATTTGATAAGCATGTTTTAAATTCCTTTGCTCAACCCAGCAGCAAAGATATTGAATGGAACAGGCCCCGTGACAGATGTGAGAATGAACCCCTTGCTATGCCTCCTTAGGGGACATGGCCGCCAGCCACCTGCTCACCCTTCTCGGGGTGTTATCCCCCATAACTGGTCGTGTGAACACAGTCAGACCCGGAGCAGAAGGTATCACCTTCCTCTTTGCCCTGTGACTTGTGACTGCATCATGGAAGAATGATATATTGGCCCAAAATAACAAGCTTTTCACAGAGTTGTGCTTCAGGGCCTGATAGAAAAGGCATGGAGTCGCTCAGGCCTCGGTGCAAGTCCTGCCCCAGGCTCTCGTGGAGACTTGGTTTCCTCAAGCACAACTCGGGGGTGAATGCTGGCCTGGACGTCAAGCGCCTTGCCCTGTGCCAGTCCGAGGTACAGGCTCAGTACGCAGCAGCCTGCCCTGGTGATCCCTGCACTTTCGACAGGTCAAGACCTGGACAGGTGGCATGGCACCAGGGCATCCCACCCCTTCCTTCTGGAGTGTGTTGCACTGAATTGAATTCAAAAGAGGGAAAAATGTGTGGCGTAAGGTGAGGAATGACAGCAAGTCTGCAGATGGCACAGGGGTTGTCTGTCAGGGGTTCCCAGTGCCTTTCTCCACAAGCTGATGGAAGCTGAGGCTTGCCAGTCCTGAAACGTCCACTGCCTTTATTTTGGGGTCATTTCTATGTGGTAACTGTGGTTCCTTTTTTCCTGATAAGAGGTTCTGACTGGCTTTCACATCACTGATTAATTCAGAATAAAAATGAGAAAATCAAATGAACCTTCTGTAAGAAGTGCAGTTTGTTAAAGAAATGGTTCAGAGCCCAGGATTTTTTGGTAGCAGGAGTCTTTCTAGACCCCATGGCTGCCCGGGCTGATCCTGACCCACTTTGGCATCCACTCTTACCTGCTGCCCTGTGTGTCCCAGCCCCATGGGCCCGGCTACTAGGAATGACCAGAAGATCCCATGGGTCTGGCCTAGTGCTCTCCAGGCAAGAATGGGGTGCTGGGCAGGCTCCCAGCTGCCGGAAAATGTGTAAGATCTTGTCTGGGGGCATGTGGAACACCTGCTAAGTGCTAGGCCTGGACTAGACTCTGAGGATCCAGCAGCAAACAAAATAGACAAGGGACAAGTCATTTATTCATCTGTCCTCTTAAACACCTGAGAAGCAGGCAGAATGGACACCCATTTTATGGATAAGGAAACTGAGGCTCAGAGAGGCGGGTCCTGTAACTAGCGAGTGGACACGCTGGGCTCATGTGCACTTTGGTTCACTGGACGCCCTGTGCCTCCCATGACTTCACATTGACCCTGATTGTTTTGTAAATGCTGAGTTACCTGGTCAGAGGACGAAGACTGCACCCGCTTAGCAGTGGTGGAGTCAGACCAGAAGCACCACCTCGGCCTGAAATTCCCTCTCGTGGTGTAGATCCCATTGAAACCTTCACAGATAGTAAGCTGCATTGGTAATAGCTCCTCTTTTTGAGATCCGAGTGATCCTTTCTTAAACGGGAGTGTCTGTGGGGTCTTGGAAGACAGCTCGGAACCAGCAGGCTGAACCTGCCTCAGAGCATGTGCCTCCCCACCACCTGGCCCGGTGCCCTCCCCTCGTACCCACAGGCAGGCACCAGCTCCCTGGCTTCTTTCAGACCTTTCTCTGCTGGGCTCCTTAAATTGTCTCGTCAGCCCCTTTCCAGCCCCGTGATCCTTGTGGCCATGTTATTCTGCACAGCGTATGGACAGTGCTCTCTCTAAGGCCTGCCATCACCACTCCCAGCCAACTTGCTTTGTCCTTGACTTCTTTGCACCTGACGACTTCGGCCTCTTGCGTTGGCAGCTCTCTCCTTCCTTGCACCTAAAATTCCCCCGTGTCCTTTCCTGCTCTGCGGAACATTTTCCGTCTCCTCTGTGCGCTCTGCCCTCACTCCAGCTTGACTGTAGCCTCCACTTGGTGCGAAGGCCTGGCACCTCTGTTCATCTTCTACTTGTATCTCTTTGAAGGACTCCTAGAACCTCAGTGGTGATGCCCCTAACTTTCCCTCTCGGGAGGGTCTGTCCCACAGACAGGCCTCAAATGGACGGATGGTCCAACATCTACCATTGGTCACGGTAGGTTTCTATCTGCGTGTCCCACCATCACCTGAAAATTAATGTGGCAAACCACAGGCTATTTTGAAATCACCAAAAATGAAAGTTGAGTGGGATATCGAGGGCCATCTCGATCAAATCCTCAGGGAACCCGTGCACCTTCCCTTTATTTCCGTGGCACCAGCACCACTCTGGGTTAGGCGCCTTCCCCAGGGACACTGCGAAGCCATCTTTAGCTCCTGACATCGTGCAGCAGCCTGTGGTCCCTCTGCTGAGTCAGGGTCCCTTTCTCTGTCCTTCCCCAGCATTGTTTCTGCTTGTGATTAGTCATGCAGGAGCCAGCTGAGTCAGAAGTGACATGTGGGTGGTTTGTGGCCAGGCTGGAGCAGTGAGGCAGGAGGACTTTCTAGGTTTATGTCTCTGTGCCCCAGACAAGCATGGCCCAGTCCCAGCAGATGCTGGGTGAGGTGTGGGTAACAAAACCAAACTTCGGGTCCAGCTCTCAGTGAAGGAGGGGAATCAAGATGAGCCAAGACATCGTCCCTGAGATGCTCCTGTGGGGTGACAGGCATGTGTAATGCCAGTGCCACACGGCAGACGCGTCAGGGCAGGTATGTTTATCATGGCTCTAAGACTACCATTGCCTCCTCCATGTGTTTCATGTACTTCCGATATACATTCCTAAATTCAATATTTCTTTTCTTGTGATGTTATTCTGGTCAATAATGGTGGTTCGTTAAATATATACCTAATTTAATTTTTGTACCGTGTAAAAATTTTTTTCCATATAAATAAATTCGTATCCAGAAACAAATTCTTTGTCAGTGGTGTCATGATTCTGCAGCTCAGAAATGTGGCCAGCAGGCGGGACACGGCCTGCGGCTGGGACAGGGGTCTGTCCCCTGGAGGGGACATTTCAATGGGGCTCTAAGGGTGGCTCAGCTTTGCCAGGCAGGAAGGGAGTGAAGTTCATCCCTGCCAGGGGGGCTGCCATGGCACAGCCCGGGAGTGTGGCTGTCGTGGGACTGGGCCAGGGAGGAGGCCTGTGGGATCCAGCCCTGGCTTCACAGGCTGTGTCTGTGCCCGCAGGAGGGAGAGGAGCAGGAGGAGGCTCGCGGCAAGGAGGAGCGACAGGAGCCCAGCACAACTGCACGGAAGGTGGGGCGGCCTGGGAGGAAGCGCAAGCACCCCCTGGTGAGTGTCATGGCACCCCGCCCCCCAACACACTCACACGCCCGCCTCCGCACCGCAGGGTCCTGGGAACATGAAGACCCAGCATAGGGGCCTGGCCCTCCCAGCTGCGGAGCTCATCTACCTTCCCCATTTGAACTCCACAGCCACCCTCACAACTTCCCTTTTGTGCATCGAACTGGAGATCCCTAGAGACCAGGGAGGTGGCAGATCTGGGACTTGGACCAGGCCCCTGACTCTCGCTTCCTCTGAAAGAGCAGCACGATGGACACCCCCCCGCCGTCGGCTCTGACAGGGCAGAGCTTGCACCCCCCTGGGCTGCCCATCCGCACCCCCACCCTGGGTGTCAGCTCCCCCTGGGCAGCCTGGAGGATGGGAACTGAGTTCTAAGAGTCTGAACAAAATGAGTCGGGAAGAGGTGCAGGCCGATGAGTCCCCTTGTGAGAGAGAAGGAGAGCTGGGCCCAGCTTACGTCCCGTAGAAGTACAGGCCACGGGGCTGGCCTGCAAGCCCCAGGCTTCTCGTGCCATCGCCTGAGTCTGGGGGGAGCTGGGGGCTGCCTGAGAGGAGGCGTGCTCCGGAGGGCAAGGCCTGTGGGCTGCAGGAACCTGCCTGCCTTATGCCTTAAACGCAGAGGCAGAGCGGTAATTATTTGCCAGCATCGAAGACAGCTGGTTCCTTTCTTTTAGCCCCTTCCAGCTGAGAATGAGAAACTTGAAGCATGGAGGTAAGGAGGAGCCAGGAGCTCCGGATTTGTAACTCTGCCCTTCAAGGAAATGTTCTCAGCAGGGCAGGATTTTCTCCCTCGGGACAGCGTCAGGGTGAATGGTGGCTGAAGTGAAAGGAGCTGGCAGAGGAAGGCCGGGAGGGCTGCACCAGCTGGACCTGAGGGGGGTTTCTCAGCCTGGGGGCTTTGGAAACCAGCCGGGCACTAAAGTTCACCACTGCCAATCCTGCTTGAAGATTTGGAGGGGAAGGAGGCGGCGGGGCGGGCAGAAGTTATTATTTAACTAGTAAGTAATTTTAACATTTTAATATTAAAGCAAACATGGATATTTTATGGCCTGGGATATTTTATGGCCTGGAATGAAAAATACACATGAAGTTGAAAGATAAAACAGGACTTCAAAGGAAGGTCTAGCTTGCAGCAGACTCCAAGCTGTACCCCCAGATCCCCCGGGTGCCCCTCCATTCTCCTCCCCCATAGGGCACCTAATGAGAGAAGGTGGGGGCACCATGCAGGCTGGAGTGGGTGGGGGAGCCAGGCCGAGTCAGAGCCCACTGGTAATTCTGCATCTGCACGTGTGCCGTGATCTGCCCAGAAGACTCTGCCTTTTCACAACCCAGGTGCTGGGGACACGTGCCCCCACCTATAGTAGCAAATACAGACCCGGCAACCTTTGACCCTTCCTTGTGAGTCCCTGGAACCAGAGGAAGGTGTGGGGTGAAGCCCCGGGGGCAGAGGGTGCAAGGAAATCAGGGACAGGTGAGTGGAAATGTGTCCGGACACGGACAAAGAGGAGCGAAGACGGGCCCAGCTGGGTGGGTGAGGGGTCCCTGGTCATGACCCCCCGGGCTGGAACAGGGCCCCATGTGGAAGGAGAAGCTGTGTCTCTAGAGTCCAACAGACCTGGGTTTAAATCCTGGCTCCACCACCTGTGTAACCTTGAACCTGGGGCTCCTCTGTTAAGAAACGGCGATGCTGAGAGTGCATTCCTCCTAGACCCCTGGGAGAATTAAATGAGTTCAAGCACCAAAAGCTAGTGCTCAGCAAAGGTCAACCCTGCCCTTGCCTGGCCAAACCTCTCCTCTCAGGAGGCCACAGCAACCTCAGTTTAACAGAAGAAACAGCAGTGGATTTACTATTTCCCAGCTGTGTGATCTTCAGAGGTTCTACTGAACCTCTCTGAACTTCTGTAGATTGGTAAAATATGGCCGCCAGCTGCAATACCTGCCCTGTCTACCTCCCACAGCGCTTTGCAAACAGCAAAGTGGAATTCAGGTATGTGGGGCTGGCAGTGTAATAAACCTGCTTCCCTGCAGGGGCCAGTGGGGCCAGTGCCTGCAAGGGCTTTTGTGTAGAAGCCTAGCATTGACTTCTCAGCAGCCCCCAAGGGAGGCTGTGTAGGTCATAGTCTAGATGTGTTCTAGGGGATACCTCCAGAGAGACCCCAGGATGAGAGAGAGAGCATGGGAAAGTCAATGCTGATTGGGGAGGGAGGGGGCCGAGGCAGCTGTTGTGAAAGGGAGCCCCTGCATATTGGAGGAACAGAGAAAGACTGACCCCAGAGAAAATAGCCAGTATAGCCCTTCCTGGGCAGCAAGCCCTGGGAAGGGGCAGAGGAGGAAATTAGTGCTGCAGCTGGAGGTCAGCCCATGGCCCCCTGGTCCACAGGCCGTCTGGTTCACTCGTGGAGCAGGTGCTTACCCCAGCTTCCTCCCCTCCTCAGCAGAGGGGCACAGCAGGGAGGGCTTTCGGGGGGCCCTGGGGCAGCTGTGGCCCTGGGAACCATTGGCCAGGGAGCTTGAAAGCAGCTGAGAGTGTGTCATCCAGCTAAGCCTGGAGAGAGGAGGGAGCTTGGCTCAGTTCCCAACAGGTGGAGCGGAGTGGGGAGCACGGGGAGCCAGAGAGGAAAACCTGGCGGCAGGCCTGGCTCTTTATTTGTGCAAAAGATACATCCACAAGTGTCCTCACCATCCCCCAGCCCCAAGGCGAGAAAGTCTCTGTGTCTGTCCTCCACTTGCCCCCAAGGCCTTTCATCCCTGGTGCCTTCCACTCATTCCTGCTCCTGCACCTGCCTCCTGGCTGCACCCTCACCCAGACCAGACCCCTCCTGCCCCCAAGGTAGTTTCACAACCCTCAGCCCTTCCTCCCACCTGGGACAAACACTCTGCACCTACTGAGCACCTACCAGAGTGGGGGAGGCCACACCGATCGATAAGGCTTCTCTTTCAACCTAGTGAGCTAGAGAGACGAGGCCATACATAAGTATACGAAGTACAGTCCGTGGCACGTCTCTGTTCAAGAATCCCCAGGGACTGTATTTCTTATGGGACAAGATCTGGAATGCGCCATCTGGCTCCACCATGGGACCTCTCCTGCCCCTGCAATGGTGATCAGTATTCACATCTTTTGCCATAGAAACACAGAAACCCCGCCTTCTCCCTGCTCCCTGGACACATCACGCAGGGTTCACAGCCTTCTCTTCTCTTTGCCTGCCCCAGAACCACAGCACATCAAAGCCTGTCTTGCAAATGCAGTTCAGTTCAGCCATCGCAACCCACATTGGCTCTCCCTTTTGAACCGTTTGTAAAGTTAATCAAAATGAACACTAAGAAATAAAAGACAAGCTATAAGCCCCGCCCCCACCCCACCCCCATCACACGCTTGGACAGCAATGGTTCGCGGACCTGACTTAGAAGCACTGGTCTGCAAACTGCTTCCTCTTTGTACAGAACTTGAAAATAAGTATTTAGAAACTTTTATGTATCAGTTTGATACTGTCACCATGTCCCAGTGTATGATTTTGTATTTTACAAAAGTATCATTTCTTTTTTTTAAATTTTATTGGGGAACAGCCATGGTCATTGGTTACATGTTGCTTTCATGCTACAATGGCATCGTTGACTCTTTTAAGGAGGGCACAGCTCACAGTGGCCCATGCTGAGATCGAACTGGTAACCTTGGTGTTATCAGCACTAGGCTCTAACCAACTGAGCTAAGCGATCATCCCCCCTCACCCCCAAAATATCACTTCTTGATGGATTGGGAATTAAAACAACAAAAACAAAAGCTAAAATCCAGCCTTTCACCCCAGTTGGAAAAGCAGGTAGAGAGGACCTGTGTCTTCCCTACACTTGATGTTGCGTGCCACCCAGCAATGGTCAGTCACTGAGCTGAGCCACTGGGCACTGTCTCCCACTTCACCGAGGACAGAGACCTTGAGTAAAGGCTCCGAGCTGGGCAGCACTTTATTGCCCACAAAGGCCTTCTACAATGATGGCCTCAGGTTATGCTGCCAGCAAACCTGTGTGAGGTCGGTAGGGTCCACTGCCGCTACCGTCCTCACATTGCGATGGAGAGGCTGAGGTTCAGGGAGGATGGACGCCACACCTTCCAGCTGCCAAGCCCACAGCGCTGGGTCCGCCTCACCACGCCAGCTACGTGATCTGGAAGCCTGGGCATTCGAAATGTTAATTAAGTGAATATATGAATGCAGGGCTGTTTGAAAAAGTGTGTGGACCTGGTCAGAACAGCATACAGAGAAAAATATAACTGAGGAGGGTGATTGACCCAAATCCCTAGGAGACTGTGAGGAAGTGGGGAAGGCTGTGGTGATCTGAGGAGTGAGAGGTGGGCCCATTAAAACCGGGCAGCGCCTTGGTCTGCGGCACTGATCTCAGAGCCAAGATGCTCAAGCCCGACAACAGGAAACAGGAAGCCAGCTGCAGGGCTGGGTGGGGCTTAGGAAGGGAACTGGCACCTGGACTCAGGGCCTGCGAGCTGGCCAGTGCCTACGACAGGGAGGAGGGGACAGTGGCACATGGGGCTGGCCTCTGCTGTGAGCCTGCGTGTGGGTGTGAGCATCTGGGCGGGCGGAAGAGCCATCTCCCTGTTCCCCTGAGCCCCTGAGGACGGTGCCGAGAAAGAAGTGAGGGTGTCCAAGTCTGGTTTCTGCCCAGTCACAAGCCCAGACAAGCCCTGGGACTGCCCTTGTCCTTCGTGCTGGTTATAGCTGGGGCACTAAGAGGGACAGTTTCTGCCCTGACCCACCAGATCCTGGGGGCTGATCTGGACTCTGTGCCCTGTTTACTAGCTATATGTATTTATTCATTGAAGATTTATACCCACCAACTTCCTCCAGGGTTATTTTTGCTCAGTGGGAGCACTCTGAGGTCACCTCTTGCTAAGAATAACCCAGAAAGGGAGGGAAGGAGGGGGTGGGGAGGAGAAGGGGACTGGGAGTAGGCGCTGAGCTCAGCCAGGCCAGGCCGGCCCACAG